CGAGGAAGTTCACTGCTTCCATATATATATATATACTGACTAAAGTCAGAAAATTCACCAGCTTTTTATTGGCAACCAGTAAAAGTTTAATGAATGAAGCTAATATTAAATACCACCAGCAATAGTTTTATTTTCTAATGCGGGGCGGGGAATTAACAAACCGAATGCACACAGCCTAAACTCTTAGTAGATTTGAGGGGCAGTTGCAGATTGCACTTAAGAAAAAATGTTCTACTATTTCAAGTTTACAGGAAACCCCAAAACACTAAAGGGAGCAACAAAAACAAAGTTCATATATCTTAAAAAGAATCCCAAAAGAACACTGCTTCCATTTTTGGGAAGCTACCTACAATCCACCCAAAATTCTGTCAACTTTTAGAGGATTGTTAGAGGAGAGTTGAATTATTATATGTAGGAAGTTGGCTAACTGGTTACATTAGCTAATTCCTATAGTAAGATACAGCTTAAGTTATCTACTGAGTTCTTGCATCTGATTAATTTAGAATTTAGCCCAACATATTTGGAAAAATCTTGGTTAAAGAGGGTTGGTTTTAGTCTTCACTTGATTGCCAGTGGGAAACTAGACAAAATTTCACTAGGTACAGGTGTTTCTTCAGACAAACCTGATGCCAATTACAGCAATAAGATTCAAGTCAGAGGAATGTATCTTTTGATAGATCACTTGTGACTTTGTCACTGATGCAATATAGATTTAAACATTCTTCCTTATATTGCTCCATGTTTCTTAAGCCTCTTAATAACACCATGTCTATTTGTTAGTCCAAAGCAAATCTGCAGCAATATGGGACATTACTAAGAAGCAAGCTACTGTATATGACTAAAACTGCCTCCCTGTTAAAGCAACATATCAACAATCTATTTGCCCAAATTTCCTTTGAGTTCTAGCTGCTGTTGCCTTTAACATTTCTGTACTGTAATAAGAAAAAAAAGAATATCACTAGTTGACCTAATACCATATGCTCAAAACTCACAGTTTATTAGAGTAAAATGGCACCAAATTGCATTACTAGCTTACAAAATAGTAGTTTGCGCAAATTTCAGTGTGGTTCCAAGTACAAAGGCTGTCATTTCAGTTCATCTTGAGTTATGTGACATATGTCTTCAGAAAGGCTTTAAGTCCCTGAAGGCCTTATGTAAAAAAACAGTGCAATTCATGGATCTGTAGCAAAGGTTAAATAGATATAAAATCACATTGTGCTTAACGCTCACAACATAGTATCCAATCCTCAACTGAATGGATCAGCTTTAAGTGAAGCGTTTCAAAGTTTTTAGATGTCAACACTAGTGGTGCCTACTTGGTATAGTACAGAGTCCTTATGACCATAACTGAGCCTTGATAGTCATAAAGTGGGTAATCAACCTTTTTTTTGCAGTGGTTATTAAACAAACCCAGTTTGCTATGGGGCATCCCCCCCCCCCCCAAAAAAACCCTAGAAATATACTCCAGTTTCCAGGGGAGCGGAAAGCATGACTCCCGGGCACTGCAAATGGCTGGTTGCTAAGTGCCCAAAATGCAGTCACATGACTGCAAGAAGGGGGAACCTGGATGTTAGGAACAGAGTGGTACATACCTTTGGAGTGGGTCTGTCATAACTTAAATAGTTGCTAACAACTGGTTGTAAATTGAGGACTGCCTGAAGTGCTTTCATTGTTCTCAGCAAAGGTCTAGTGCAGTGGGTCTCAACCTTCCTAATGCCGTGACTCTTTAATACAGTTCCTCATGTTGTGGTGACCCCCAACCATAAGATTATTTCATGTTTTCCATATTTTTTTCTCAAAAATATGTGTTTTCCAATGGTCTTAGGCTACCCCTGTGAAAGGGTAGTTTGACCCCCAAAGGGGTCCCGACCCACAGGTTGAGACCCACTTGTCTAGTGAATTCAATGTATGTTTGTCCAACACACCACTCTTATTTTTCTTACACTTCTACCCCACACTTTTTCTCCACAAGCTTTGTATTTTCTCTTTCCTTGTTTCAACTTTCTTTTACCAAAAGTGGCTGATTAACACTTGACCTAGTTAGGATTAGTTAGATTAACAAAAGTGTCTGGGTTCCTATAACACATTGGCATGAACCCTAACTTTGGGGCTTTGGTTTATGGCTTAACAGTTAAAAACTCAACATTTGGCTCAGAATCCCATTTCAATAAAGAAAAAGAAGGCTTCCCAAATATACCATGCTTTCTAGCTTCTGCCAAGAACTGGACAGTTTTTTCTGGAGTACAGATGAAAGTGCAATTTTACGAGCGTGGTCAGTTAGGGCAGGGGTTGGCAACCTTAAACACTCAAAGAGACACAAAGGTCTTCCCCCTTCAATTCTGGAGCCGACTGGAAGTCCGGTTTCTCCACCATAGAGTTTTTTCCTCTACCTGTTCCAACTGACAACAGGGAGCTGCAGCAGTGATGAAAGAGCCACATGCGGCTCCAGAACCTCGGATTGCTGACCCCTGAGCTAGGGGAGCCACTGCAACAAGCCATTTTACTTTAGCAATACCTTAAGTCACTATAAGGCAGCGAAGCGCTACAAGCTACCTACTCCATTTTTTCCCACAGAGTAAAAAGTGGGTGAGATGAGCATACAAACACAGGGAGGGAGCAAGGTAGGTTCCTTTCCCCCCCTGGAGCTGAGCTCCTCTTAGGGCGACGACACCCGGAGTCTCCCCATTCGCTTCTCCATTAACTAGCTAACGAGGGGGCGACGAAGCTACTAAGAGTATCGGGAGCCGGGAAGCGCCTAGTTACAAGACCACCAGTCGATGAAGCCCGGACTGAGGACCAAAGCTGCAGTCATGGCTGAGTCGTAGGCGGAGAGATGTGGCGCCCTGCAACAGAGAAATGCGAGGAAAAGGTGCTTCCCTGACCAGAAAATTCAATGCTATGGGAAGGCGGCCAGGGAGGCGAGTTCAAATGCAGGGGGATAAAAAACCAACCCGACAGGTTGCCTTGGTAACTAAGATAACCGCGCACCCCGTTCCACAAACCGGATGGTTGCCGGCTTAAGCGGTAGAGTGGCTGTACTTACCGGAACATAACCGCCGCGTAATCCCGAGCGCTTTCCACAGCCATGGTCGGCTACTGTTCCTCCTCACCTCTGGGTCCCTCCGCTACTCCTTATGAGCAAGGGCGCCCCGCCCTCCTTGTCCTTTACGCAGCAGAACCGTCCATTGATCGGAGGCGAAAGAGGGGAGAGAAATCCAGCACGCAAAAAGGAAGTGATTTCAGAGCGTGTGCTTATCTTCGTTTGGGTGGTGCCCGATGCTTTTATTGGCACAAGGCCCATTGGATCTTTTTTGCAGTCCGTGATCTACAAACGTATAATCGGAAGGCATTTTTCCCTTCACCTTTTATAGCTGTATAATGCTGCAAGAAAAAAAACAGGGCTTTACCACGATCATTCTTTCAATATTTCGTATTTAACTTCTCCAGGGAAGGGTTATATCTGATTTTTGATTCCAGAAAACAAAACTCTTAACCACCATTCATATTTTACATACTTAAAATACTGCTATCATTCCCTCGCCCTTTCCCCAAGCTTTGCCTGTTACACATAAGCAACACTTTCAAACCAGGTTTTGAAGAACTTGGTTTGTTCTGTCACTTGCTACTCTGAAGACCATAAGAGAACCACCTTATAAGGACAGGTGATCCGCATAGAGCATTATTATTGACACATAATGGCAACAGTTCTCCAAATCTTCAGGCTAAAGTTACTGCATTCCAGATCTGCATGGATATGCTAGGTCTTATACTTTAAGTGAATGATAAAACCCCTTCCTCAGGCTGCACATTCAACATAATTAGTTTCTTGAACTATGATACAGAGAGCTGACACAGTATGTATGACCTGAGTAGCATTTAGAACTGTTCTCATGCTCTTATACTACTGCTTCTGCTGTATAAAATTACATGAACTGTTTCACAATAACTGCAAACTCAGTTTATGATAAACTCTAAACATCTAAAGGACATTGTACTTCCTGTGTTG